CTTCCCTGCACCTGCCTGGCAGAGGCTTCCTGCTCTGGCATGTGGATGCTAGGTGATGCAGCCATCTGCACCCTAGCAACCAGCCACTGACTGCATGGCTTGGGGGTCAAGAGGCCAATGCGGGTAGGGACAGGAGAGTGGGCATGAAATGCAGGGCCCTGGTACCCAAGGTGGGCCAGAAGGGGAAGAGCCTGCTCTGCTAGAATGTCCCATTGTGCTTGTGGACTCCTCACTCTGGGGACTGGCGTGCAACCTTGTAAGGCACAGAGCCTACGGCAGAGGTCCCCTTTGTGCCCCCAGGGTGAAGCCTAAGGCCCCACACTGCAAGTGTCCCTGTCCTCACCTTACTGTCGCCCAACATTAAATCTAGTCCTTTTATCCCTACATCATGCTGTCCCCACCCCCACCCCCACCCGCGCCCTGGGATTCACCTGTTGTGACCTGTTGGGGAACAATGGTAGAACTGGTCTTAAGGGAATCACCAGCCACAGAAAAATCAAGGCACAGCTTTGTGCAGCCCATCCTCCAGGGGCGAAGAGGAGTGGACAGCTTAGCTGGAATGAGGGCTTTTCCTCAGGGGATTTGTCAGAGAATTGGGGGATGAGGCAAACAATATGAAAGTCATCTCAGAAGCTATGGTTCTCCATGCTGGCCCCCAAAAAGTGCCTCTGTCTTTGGGGGTTGGTGGGGCCCTGGAACAGCTGGGGCGTGAGAGGGGTCTTGGGCCACCAACTGGGTTTCTAGTGTAGTTTCAGCAATGGCCTGACCATGAAGGAATGAGTAGTGTTTTGGGGATTTACACACATGCAACTTGTCCTAGAGGGGTGGGAAGGCCTGGGTCTAATTCCAGGCACAATGAGTCCAGTTTTAAAGGTGGGGACCTGGGCTGAGAAGCCAGCCAAGGATGGCAGGGCTGAGTGTGCTGTCAATTAGCCTCAAGCCCCACCTCAAAAGGTCCCGGCTCTGAACACCAGCATGTTCACCAGGTCTCCCTGCTAGCAAGAGTGAGTCGTGTGGAGCTGGACCAAGTGGCCTTGGTGTTTGTTTAAATCTTGCCCAAACGTGTAATCCATGTGATTATTTAAAGTCACTACAGAAGAGACAGCACGGCAAAAGTTTTAATGGAATAGCTTTGGCTGAGGCAGAGGCAGTTCCCAGGTGTCTCCGGATGTAAACCCCAAGCTGGGGGATTTCTCCGGACCCCTGGGATCCATCTCCTTGAGCAAAAGGGCTGGCCCCAGTCTCCAGCGGCAAGGCCTCTCAGGTAGAGAAGGATCTTAGCTTCCTCCTCAGGGCTCGGGGCACTGCCGCTCACACGGACACCCTAGATGCCGGTCCGCGTGGAAAGGTCCGCCGGGGCAGGGATGAGGGCTCAGGCAGGAAGAGCAGGGGAGACCCGCCCAGAAATCCTTTCACCCCGTGGTCAAACCCCTAATCCGGCCGGGCAGGGGGCGGGGCGTCACACATAGGCTTCAGCGATGGCTGTCACTGTCTCCAGGGCGCCCATCTGTGCGGGGGAGTGGTGGAATGAAGAGGGAGGAGGCCTTGCGACCCCCAGGCTCAGTGAGAGGCCTGAGCCGCGTGCCTCGGTCCCTCACGGTGTCCCCTTTACCCTCTCAAGTACGGGTCTGTTCTGGGCCACTAAGGGCAGGGCGTGGTCCCCGCCAGGTCACACGCCCTTCCCGGTGCGCACGGCGGACAGACCTTGGGTGGCCCCCGCCCCCACGCCCGCTGACCTTGGGTCGGGTGCCCCCTCACCTGACACTCCCGCGGCGCGGCTCCCCCGCTGAGCCCGCGGCGCCCCAGCCCCCCAGCGGCGCTGGGCGGGGGAGGGG